TTACGTGTACACTAGTTGATATTTTTGTAATTTATAATGTAATCCAAGTATTATCTATGCATTTGTCTAAAAAGAAACATTCTGGTATAGATTACTGATACATAATACGCGCCTAAAAACAGTCTCCACGTCATTATCATCTCAGAGCATATGGTAATAGATAACGGAAATTTCGGGTCACGCATAATAAACGTTTGCCTTCGATCACACGCGTGAACGCAGCTGGGTCTATATCCATTATAGATCGGTAACACGATATCGATGCATTTTTTTAACGCTCGGCAAACATTCATGTAAAACAAGTTCGGTGTTAGATCAGGCCGGAGGAAAGATCGAAGAAGGCGATTTTATTTACTATGCAAAATCGCTGGGTAATAACTTCCTCTTCTTCATACAACAATATATTTAATTTTTTTAGAGTTTTTTTATTCTAAATTGATCGTAAAATCTGTAGAAAAACATGTACAAAAATAATTACTTAAATTTCTAATAACTTACTTCACTAATAATCCTAATAATATACAAGATAAAAAATGTTTGTTATAAAATCAAAGCTATTAATTTGATATCGAATAGAGAAAAAGAGAAAAATGTTTTAAATTCATCGAAACAGTTTTTATTTTGAAAAGTAATGTTTTAGAGATGCATTTTATTGTTCAATTTATTTAATGGCATAAATATTTTTCCAATAAGAATTATACAGTTATTATACTTGTCATATACAAACTGTCGCGGATGATTATCTTGTAAAATCCGCGATAGTTCACACAAACATTAAAAACATTCACAATAATGAGTGTGTATATTTTATTCTGGCGATATGCTGCTCACGATAAGATAACGTGCGAGCCCGCGTCTCGCGATTCTCTCTAATGAAACCTTAAAACGCGTATCGAATGTCGGTCGCCTCGGGGAGAGATCCCGAGGTGGATCGCGGAGGCAGAAAAGGACGAAGGCCCCTCGCATCCGGATACGTTCCTGTCCTGTCGCTCGTACGTCAACCCTCGTTGTTTTTTTGCCGCGCTCTTAATAATTGATCATCTGATTACGATACATTATACCCCCCCTATCCTCCCCACCCTCCCCCTTACGTCCCTGCTTGAGCGTACTGTCGGAGGGCATTATTCCTGCAACCGAGAGAAGTGGCATCGGGAGCAGATAGAGAAAAGGAGAGAGAAAGAGAGACGGGGAGAGGCAGCAGGCGAGAGAGGGAAACTTTTTCTTTCCGCCGCGCCCGACGACGGACGGCCATTTGCATATAGGCCCCCTTATCGACAAACACACCGGGGGCGCCCTTCGTAATGAGGGCCCCCTCCCCTCGTTCAACGTTCCTCTTTCCTTTATTTTTTCAACGTGGACCGCCATTGTCCGTTAACTCATTCGTCGGGACAGCGTGGACCAGTAGTATCTCGCTTCCTTCCTCTCTCGTCCTCTTTCTCTTGCTCGCACTCATTGTACGAGGACATAGTAGCTTGTGTTACAAAAAAAGAGAACGAGAGAGAGAGAGAGAGAGAGAGAGGGGGGAGGGGAAGGGAAGTGGAAAATAACAAAACCGGTCGGTCACACGTCGAAAAATATGAATCGTACAGATAAAGGCGGATGCGTTGGTGCTGGTCTCTCGTGACATCTGCTTCCTGGAATAAGTGCAAAAAAAAAAGGGTCCAAAGAGATCTCGCGATCGTTTTTGCCGCCGTATATAATTGTAGCCGTGACAGCACGCGGATAATACCCTACCGCTCGATATCGTTTCGCGCGACTACCGTCAGTAATATAAAGGACGAAAAAGAAAATATTTCATACACGTAACAAATCATGATTCACCACATCCGACTTCCTGTGTATTTTTTTCTCATTTTCGCAAAATCTTGAGAATGAAATACACAATAGCAATACGCAAATATCTGACACTATGTGGTTTATTTCACAATTAACGACATAGTGTCATATAGATAATGTTGAAAAATATCTCAGAGGGTTAAACAAGTTTGATGTCGATGTTTCCCTAAAAAAATGTCAAGGGTGATTATCATTTGTCACAATTTAATGTTAGCATTAAATTTCTTAATAAATAGGCTCCAAATAAATCTCTATTAGAACAAAATCAACTTGGAATCAAAGCTTTATTATCTATTATATTTATTGTACAAAAATTCTTTTATCTCCATTATAAAATATTTTTGTAATTTGATTTCTCTGAAAATTTTGTAGAAAAATTGGATTAATTAAAAAATTGGTTTCATAAAATTTTTTATCAGAGTTCATTGCATATTTATAATTGTTTCTTAAAGTTAATAAATTTATTTTCAAGTAGATTTTACAATTGGTACGTATCGTCATCACATTGAGAGTAAAACTATATACTTACACTTTCTATACGATGCACCTGGCATCTCACGAAGATCTGATTTCCACAATTATCTGCAATTTCTGTGCGCCCTAAATTGCGGGCATTAAATTTGAATTACGCGAGGAAAATCATAGGGCTGTAAACCTAGTGATTTCTCGAATCTTGAGGTTCTTAATGGAGCGCGCTAACGATACAATCTCGCTTCTTAAGATTAAATGTTCACGAAACACACGTCATTAAAACATATTCCTGTGTGATGAGAATAATAACTCATCTATAATTATACCTATCAACGATAGCTAAACGTCATCGATCATACCTTGTCTCGGTCAAGTTTTTAATGATACGTTTTAATTGCATAAATAATATTCGTATAACAATAAAATGCATGACAAATGATATACCCAACTCCATTTATTATTTGTCCAGCATTGTAAAAAAATTGTACGTCATATTTTCATTTTATACATTTTATCTTTTTCGTAAATGTACGAGTGTTAATCAGTTTATGTCATATTTATCAGAGATTGCATTTCTGATTTTATTAACAATTTAATAATATTTATCGATATTATATTAAATGGATAAGACATACGCAGAACTATTTCTTCTTTGGATTATTCCCCCTTAGATCATGTTGTAAACAGATATATGTTATTATTAGATTAATTATTATATGAAGAATTACATTTTACAAATATAATAGGTAATATTTTGTTTCGCTAATAAATGTACATTTCATAATACCCAAATATTTGATCATTTATATTTCATGCTCTAAGCAAACTATCTGTAGTACCTTCGCGAGACTCCAAGAGGTATACAGGTAGTAGCGGTTGCCGCAAGAGTGAATCATTTGCAGCGGTTGTTCGCACGAAGTTGCACGTACGAAGACGCTGTTCTCGTTTCCCTCGAGATCGATCGTTAGCCGGCATTGTTACCCAACTGTCAGGATAATCTGCGGTGGGAATCACGAGCTGTGATAGATACGAAGAAGCGGGCTCACGTGTGTCCGGCCCAGAGGCGGCTAGGGCAGGTGCGACTTCCAGAGGAATAATTAATATTCAGCGAGGAAAAAGTGGGCGAGAAAGGCCCCGACGATGGCCTCCTCTTATAAACAGTTGACGCGTTAGCGACTGAGGAGCGCGCCGCTTGCTGGGCCGCCGCACCTGGTACCGCCGTATAAAAGGGAAGGGAAAAAGGAAAGGAAAAGAATATCTTCTCACCAATTACACCTATTACGAACGGACGTTCGGTATACCGTGATCACCTAAACCCAAGACCGCTTAACTTAATTCGAAAATTATGCGCTCGGCCGCGTGCATCAGCGGTGAAATGATACAGCGTGGAGGGCCTGCGTGCGTTTCCGTTATTAATATCAAGAGTGTCTCCTCACCTTCCGGTGCGTGCATCGTCTAATTTACGGTCGGTCGCGCGGCGGTTCGTATTCCGCGCTCTCTAAAAGACACCTTCGAGTCTCTGTTATCGAAATTCTGTATCGATACGCGTGTCTAGACTTGGAAATTTGTTCTTCAATTCTCATCGAATATTAATACGTATTTTTTTTATCTCTTTTCCAATTTGCAGTAAATTTTATCATTAAAAGTTTTCGTATTTCATATTTTATTCGCAATTTTAGAATTTCCAATGTTAAGTATCAACTACAGTTCTGTAAAAAAAATGAAGAATAGGATTTTATCTCAATCTGTTTTTCTAAAACTTAATTTGTAGATGTGACAACTAGAATGTCTTGTATATCCACGAAACGCTAATGATGATAACAGTCTACGCGAGTATCGCAGCACGCTTAAAAACGTTCTATTACGAAGCAGGTTTACGATGGCCCGCCATCGCGATTCTCGCATCGTCATCCCCAATGATATCATTATCGGTAATCTAAATAAAAAACAGATGATCGGCCCCTGCTTGTCAACGGAGGTATCGTCCGATCGCGCCGAGGAATTGCAGCTGCAGAAAACGAGGAAAACTTGTGATCAGATAAGAGTAAAAGCAGAGGGCGGTATAAGGGAGTCCCCCTAGAGGGAGGAAGATAAAGAGCGCGTTTGTAGAGGAACGGAGAAGTACAAATTACGAGCACCCGGAACCGTTCTTGTGGCCGTGTTAACTTTCGTCGCGTGCCTTCAGGAAATACCTCAACTTTTGCAGCCACGTGCTATCGTTGGGGTATTATAAACTTTCCATCGTTCACCTTTGTCCTCCGCCTGCCTTTGCCCGTCGTTACGCGCGTCCGCGATAAAGTTTACAAATTACCTATGCAATCGACCTTTTCGTAAATGAAGCGCTTTTGTCATTGAATGTTTTTTAACAAAAGCTTTTGATAAATATTTACTCATTAATTCATCCACAACTAATCTCTTAATACATCTGATTTATTTGGCTGGTTCTAGCTAATAATTACTTTCGCCTGATTCAATAAAATTATCATCTTTATTTAGTTTGACAAATCGACATTTAATGTGTCTTATAAATGTAAACTAAATAAAACAAGTGCAGAAATATACATGACAGAAGTACTTGCCAAAAACATGAGATTTACGATTATAATTTATAGTGCTATTTAATTTTTAAGATCAAGTTTGCTTGATTTTTTTTAAATAATTATGCTAATACAATCATGCTTTGCAATTTTCAGGTATGAAACCGTCGATCGACTTTTTCAAGAAGTGACCAGCGTCTACAGAGACCCGGAAATCGATTGGATGCTAGTGTACAATGCAGGTTGCACTATAGATGATACAGTTCTACCCGAGCATGTGACAGAACCCAATGATCTCGATCGCTTGATCAACGGAACGTTCAGATTATTTTTGGCGGCTCTTCCTACGTCTCCGACAATCGTCACTATAGCCAGGTATGTCGCTTTTTCAATATACAATCTTTTCCGTTGTTAAAAATTTACAAGTTTACCAAATAAATTACATTTGTTTTTGCAGTAAAATATTATACAAGACAAAAATGCAAAAATAATATAATAAGAGATATTTTAATATCTTTAGTTAATTTTTCTTTATTAATATTTTACGATTAATAATGTATAATGATAATGATCTATGCACAAAAATCTTCCTTTAAATACGAAATGAATTTAATTTTGTGTAAATTTTGTAAAATTTTGCCATTATTAAAAATTACTATGATAAAATTGGATTAATGACTGAGATTAAATTTTACGTCATGCTATTAAAGATTGATATCACATACGCTCGTTAGTAATACAAGCCGAAAATAATTGCACGTTTGATAAATTAGCAGATGTAGTTGAGCGTGCAAGAATCGTTTTGCGGTAAGAGGGTTGTTGCACCGCTTAAAGGTGGAGGACCAAAATTAGCGATCGCGGTAGGCAACGTCTCCTGCATACATATACCGACAATTAAAAGTTCGGGTTGTGTAAATTGGCTTTAATTTACGGTTGCAAACGACTGAAATTATATTGTCCCGCTTTTGCATACGCGCGGAACCGAAGCCCGCAATACCGCAGATGGCGCGGAAGAAGATGCTGGGAGGGCACGAAATAGAGAAGAAGGGCGGCTTATATAGGGACGACACGGCGGGGCTGTCCGAGGGGTGGGTTCAGGATCGTGGGTATACCGTTAAGCCCCACCCTCCAGATAGACAGGGGTGGGTTTCACATAGGGGTGCATGAAATCAAACCATCCAACTTTCGTTTATCATAGCTAGATGTCCCTACCTTCGATTTCCTGAAGTAAATGCTACATATTCCTTCCTCTCTCATCTTTGCCTCGTCACTTCTCTAAACATTAAAATGAATAGTGACAACGCTTTTGTTCAACTTTCAAAATTATTGATTGAATATGTTATTGCAATATAATTTTGTTATAAACAAAATTTCTAAATGCGAGAAATTTATTTATGACGATAACATTATACAATATTTTTTTATGTTAATTATGATGTGTCTGGAAAAAAAATCAGAAGATTATTTTAAAAATATACACAGCTTTTTTTATGGATTTGCCGAAACGATGTATATGATTGCACTAATTTTATGACTGAAAAAAATATATGAATAATTAAAATAGTCAAGTCAAGTCATAAGATGTAGATGTGAAAGAAGAATGAAGAAGTAGATGTGAAAAGAATTGTATACATGAAAATATATGTCTAGACAAATTAGAAAACAAACTTTTACGGGAAGTTGTATCGATTAATATTAATAATTTTACGAAATTTGAAAAGAATATCTTTCTCAGGTAATAAAATAAGCGCTAGAGACAGAACTCTAATAACAACAATTATTATTTCAAAAAAAATATGTGTATTTTATCGAAAAATACATTATTTTTTTATATTTTATACTAGCTGTTTTTTTAAATAATTTTTTTCTAACAGTAATTAATACGGACATCTTAAATTGCAATTAATAGGATAAATATATTTTTTTATTTGAATATATTTTAGCTATTATATATATATGTAAAATTAATGAACTTTGAAGTATAAGTGACTTGGCGCCATCTGGCAACGAATGTACGGAGATTCTGCTCAAACTTCCGGCAGAAGCTGAAAAAAAATCGATTCCACCCCATTCGACTTGCTTCCACCCTTCGCTGTTCCCAACCCCCATTTCAGCACATTAGTTTCCGGGGGAGACGCGGAAATGTTGCCGGATATCGTCTCTGGACAGTTTGCAGTTTCTCTCGTAGTTTGCCAAACGGTGATTAAACAATCAGCGACAAAAATTTATGGAGGGTGAGGCAGCAAATAGAAGAAACATTAAATCAGCGAAAATGTGAAAATAGAGAAAGTAGAAGAATGGAGAAAAGTGAAAGCGAGAGTAAATAGAAAGTACGACTCTTTTAATAATCTACTTTTATGCGGTTCTTTTCTTTTCCTCTTTTTTATTTTGCTTTTTTGTACTAGCAATTAATTGCCGAGCGTTTTGATAAATATAAATCTTGCCTCTCTCCAAAATCGATTTCTTGAATAAATCGTAAATTATTTTAAATTAGAAAAAAGTTATTATTTGACAAAAGATGAAAAAAGTTGTTACAAAGTGATTTGAAGTGGTGATATGCAATCACACAATATTTTATCAAAGTCTAGGTAGAAGGACTAAGGTAAGTTTATTTTATCGACTATGTTTGTGATTAAATAATTTTTAATTGCAGATCCAGTGAGGATGATTACACTCCTCTCGAAAACGTTGATCAAATTCAAGTCGACGTTCTCGATCAACTTCGCGAACGACTGGGCTCGGAAATAGATATCAAACTGATTTATCAAGACGAAGAGCAACAATAATTCTTAAAAAAAGAATGTAACCTTTTATTCTTTCCTTTTATCCTTTAATTCCCTTTCTTACGGTTTGTCAAATAAAGTCCGCCAAAGGCCACCAATTGAAGAGGATCTTAGTAGAGATTGAAACCAGTAATGGAATTCACAATCAATCATAAGTATAATTATTTGTACTTATTAATTTGATTAGAGTCGCACGCATAAGCGCGCAATATAGAATTGTACTGATCACTGATTTGTAATTACAACTATTTGTGAAATAAAGACATAACATTAAACACATTTTCTACTATTAATTGCTTAAAATGTATATATCTTCATTAGATTAAAATCAAGTCAATTTCGATTATAGCAACCATAAGTGGTACAATATTGTAACATATATAGATATCATTCAAATTTCTCTCACATGATCGCACAATCGTCCCTCATTGCAATTATGATGTTTCAGTATTATCTAAAGCATCGCGAACCTTTCAGAGATTCGTAGATTACAAGGCAGACATGAAGAAGGGACGTGACGAGTCTTTGATCGCGCTGCGGCGATTTACATAAGATCGGTACCACTGGTCCACTGTGGGACGCGGGCACAATGCCGATATGAAGGTTGCTGCTTTTTTTTTTGGCAGCGAAAGTAGCCCCCTACCCTCTTTGCCGATCTTCGTTCCACGAGTCTCAGATTTGCATACCTTGGGCCAGTTTCCCACACGTCTCAACAGCTTCCGTCTCGTCTCGGTCTCTCCTCTCTCACTCAGCATCTCTCGCTCTTTCTCGCCCTTCCTTCCTCCCTCCCTCCCTCCCTCCTTCCTCTGACGTTGCGCGCAACCCTTTCAGCTGCCGGTGAAGACAAAAACGCGGGAGTGCTCCCCCCCCCCCAAAAAAAACGAACGTCTTCCTTCTCCCACGATTATGGCGTTTCCTGAGGCTGTTCTCAAGACGTGTCTATTGTGGACACGGCACACAACGAGCTTCGATGTAGTCGCGGATATATGTTCTTTTTTTGCACATACCAGTTTGAAACGATTGACTGAAGCGGAAGACGCGAGCACCCGTACAGCCTGCTCGGTCTGGGTCTTTTTATTAAACGCGTATTTAATATCGTTGACACTAATAAATATTATTATTACTTTTTTTTATATATTATAATCGATCAACATAAACTTTCTTCGTAATAAAACAATTTTTTAAATACAATATTATACATGAAATGTCTAATTGGAATAAAAGAGTATTGTATTGCGCATTTGTAAAATTAGAAAGATAGAATATTTTTCAAACTATTTCTTAACTCTATTTTCTTTTTGTTAATTTTTTTTGTGAAAGATATAATGAGAAGCACAAAATTTTCCGAGCGCATTGAACACTTTGTTGGAGGTCGATTTAGCCGGACGACAAACGATATCGCCGGAATTAACATGAAGCGGGCAAGGTGAATACGGAAGTGCGGTCGCGCGATTAAGGGGCGAACGTTAAAGAACAACCGCAGGGAAAGAGGAGAGAGTTTACGAGTCGCCAGCCTCCCAAGTAATGATTGTCGTTAACCGCCGCGCCGTACGGGCCGCTCGCTCGGCCCGCAGCCCGACTTTTGTATGCTAATGACAGGGTGGTCCGATTTCATCCTACAGCCGAGTAAAAAATCTTGGGGGTCAACAGACCCATCGTTAGCCCAAGTTTTAAGTCTCCCTCGAGCGTCATTGACCTCGAATTAAAAAACGGGTGCGACCTTCCGTCCCGCCGACTCCGTCCCGCCCGGAAATTTTACAACAGGACTCTCTCGCCTCGTAATGTAACACCTCCACTTATTTACTTTTGCCCTCTTACACTTCATCTCGCGGATACGCGATCGTCTCAGATGGTGGATTTTACGAGTTGAGAAAACAAGACGAGATAAAGACTAATTAAGACTTTTTCAAATTTCTTGTTTTTTAAAATGTCTCTCCTTTTTTCTCTCTTTTTCTCTCGAGAAATATGAATTATGTTAAGCTTATGCGATTATTTCCTTAATTAAGAAATGTTCTTTTTGTTAATAAATAAATAGGTAAATTGTATTTAACCTTGGAAAACATGATTCCTTTAGACACAGATTAATATATTCTTTTATCCAATTCTTTTTTATTTGAATCTTTTTTAATGAATAGTGAATCTCTAAACAAAAATATTGTATATATTATTTAGCAGATTATATATTATTTAGCAGAAGAAATCAGTTAACAAAATGTTGAAATTTTAAGACAGTTCGATGCGGCAAGACAATAGAATAAATTAATTGAAAATTCTTATTAATAATTTTGTCATCCGGGTTACAGCGAATGTAAATATTGTTCTAGAGCGCAGACTCTTTATAATTCACAATTTTCTCTGCTCTCTCTCGTTCGCATTTCATTCATCCAGGTGACACCGTGTCAGTGGGTTCTAAGGGAATTATTCAAAACCAGCCCTGACTGGCAAAAGTGCAGCCGCCCTGGAACTGTAATCCCATACCCGTATCTAATCTGCATAAAAGAGAAGAAAAAACGCCGCATGGGAAAAAAAACAAAAGCACAGAGGAATTCGCCCGATAAATTCTGCGAAATAAATTAACATAAAACATAACTACCGTATTAATAAAAATTTTGTCTAACAATAAGATAAATAATAAACAAAGTTGTTGGATATTTTTTAAGTCATTAAAGAAATCAAGATACCTGCAGTTTTCTATGCTCTTTTATGCTTTTGATATTATTTCCAATTGTAAGTGTACATCTTTAACTACTTTCGTTGGTCTTCTTCTCTTGTTATCTTTCTATCATTTCTATTTATATTTTCATAAGAATTGCTGTGTTTATCAATTTCATAAACAGTATCTAAAAATCCAGCATTAAAAAATCTGAAAATTTCGTACGTTGCAAGAAATGGAGCGAGCGAAATTTGTACTCGTATTGGCAGCAGTCATGGATGCCAATTAAAAAATCCCGACAACATCCGGCATTTCTCGCGAAGTCGAAGCTAGCAGCGCGATCCAGCATCCCTTCGAAGAGCATACTTACCGATTATGCGCGTGACGAAAGAGATCTTCAGGCGAATATGCTAATGCGCGCGACGGCATAATGCGAGGCCGATACGCCGAGGCAAAGCCAATTATGGCGCGGGGACCCATCGTGCCTGATACTCCGTTTTGCACGTGGGTCGTTCTCGAAAAATCTCTTCCTTTCTCTCTCTCTTTCTCTCCCTGTCTCTCGACACGGTCACACGAAACGTAAAACGGCGAACGAGTCGAGACGAGACAAGGTGCGAGAGGAGAGGGCCGCATAGACAACGCCATAGGCGGAGGCCTGCACCATTGTTCGAAAGCGCTATTTGTATTTATTTGGGCCCTTTGTTCGAGCCTTGAGAGATTCATGGGGCGGAAGGTGGGGCGAGTGCGGCCAAAGCGAAAGAGAGAGAGACAGAGAATTTATTCGGAGAACGAGGCAAAGGGTGAGAGAGGTCCACTAGTCGTTACGGGACTACTCTGCGTTTCGGTTGAAAAAAAGTACGCGACGCGGGAAGCATCGGTCCGTGTCATCGGTGTATTTAGACGGCGAAGCTAAAGTATAGAACTAGGAATAACTGGTAACCGCGAGTAGCAAGTCACTTCCCCCCCCCCCCGTTAGGTTTGTATGCAGCGTGATAGTCGATGACTTTAATTTAGTGTTTTTCAAAAATAGTTTATTTATTTCTAAAATATTATATGCTATTACGTGACTTGATTACGTTCTTATTGCTTCACTGACTAATATAGAATGTCTTACAATTGTTATCATCTTCTTCATCTACGCATTTCTTCAAAAAATTGGCAAATTGATCAAAGAGCTTTGCATAAAAGAAGTTGTGATAAAAGCAGGCGATAATTTTGATATTATAGCACCACGGCGCATGAAGTTCTAAAAGTGCAAGTAGACCAAGTACCACAAAATACTTGTCTTGTGAAGAACTAAGGTTAAAGTTATTATCGCAACGTAAGATCGCGAGATATGATAAAAGTAAAACAGCAATTAATCATGTGTAGAGACCAGAGTTGATATTAAAAGCAACACCTCCAACTGACATAATCTATCTTTAACATCGATAAGTATAACTTTTAATGAAACAGTTTTATCGAAAATCTTAGATTTGATTTGCATTTACATGTTTAACATTTTTGAATATTTTCACTGTAAAATCAACGGAACTAGTCGTCTTCTATCATTTTTTTTTTAACTCGTGGTATTTTTTTTTTCACTCGAGTAAGTTTTCGAGAATAAGCTTCGCACGTAGTTGAAGGTGGGCCGACCGGATTCGAACATCCAATTGCGAAAATGCGTTCGTCCCGTCGGTGGGGAAACTTCGCGTGCTCGTTGGTGCAGTGTGCGACGAGATGGCCCGGTGTGTGTGTGTGTGAATGCATCTCGTGCAGCGGATGCAACTGCGAGTGGTCAGTAGCTCGCAAACCGAGTGACCGCTCTCTCTCGCTGTGTCCCGACGTGAAAGTGGCGAGGGGGGAAAAAAAAACAAAGCCAGTTTTCGCCGCGTCGTGAACTTTTTTAATTGCATTTCGCGCTCGAAATGCTCCTCGAGTAAAAATTCATCAGCGACAGATGGACCTTTTCGGACGTACAGATGTTGTGAAATAGCAAATTTTTAGTGAGTTGTACACGTGTCGCGATAGATATATGTCAAAATATAGATGTAAACAACAAAATATAGACAACGTCGGTAAAACTTAAGAGGAATTGATTAACAAGTTGACACTATCGCTATGTGTATCGTCAATGTGTTGTTAAGAGACACAGTGAATGAAGTGGAATAAAATGTGACATATTTAGACCTTACATTTGTTAATATTTAGAAATTGAGTGAAATACTGTGAAATTTTCTTGTTTCAATACATTTGAAAGTACATTAAACGTAACCATTGTGTATTTGTATAATAAAAGGCAATTTTTATTATATATTTATTATAACACAAGCGATATGACCTATGCATCGGTATAATTATAAACTTACATTATTTTTCTACATTGTTTTCAATTTTATATGTGAGGAATTTGCAAATTGATATCTCTTGCGATAAGAAACAAAAGAGTTAAACCGTTGCGTTGCATTCTCATCTCGAACTGTCAAATTTTCCAAGAAATAATTCTTTACGCACCGCGGATGTAAATTAATTTTTGGAGTGAAAAATACTGGCGATGCGCAGGACAACATGAGACGCCGTGACAGTTTCCTCGTGGACAGATTAAGAAAGGAAACGGAAGTTATGCCATAAGTTTTAATAACACATA